AACATGAGCCATTTAGGACATGGCAGAGTGAAATAAAAAAGAACATGACAATTAGCAGACCACTCAAAATGACAAGGGGCCAAGCACTGGAGGAAAATGATGAGAAAGGTTTTCAATACTCTGTCTTCCCTGTTGATCTATTCATGATATAAATCTTAGATTGAATTTGTTGAGCACCTACTATGTAAAATTTGAAAATCTCTAGTATGATCATATGATTCCCTGCTTAAAAGCCTTAAGAGACTTTCATTGTTCTAATGATAAAGATGGACATCTTTTTCTGGGTCACTGAGGCCTACAGAGGTTGGCCCTGTTCAGCTAATCCCGTAAGTCCCCTCCATGTTGGTCCTCCAGACACTATGAGTTTCTCCTACATACCATGTTCTCTTCCACTTCTACTTATAACCTCTGCTGAAGTTCTTTTTCAACTATCTCCTTTACTGAAACATCTGTATTGTGACACAATTCGCATACCATCCAATTCACCCATTGCAAGTTGTGCAATTCATTGGTTTCCAGTATATTCAGAGACATATTCAGCGATATATATAGAATAGGTGGTATACACATCATCACAATGTATTTTAAGGCCTTTTATCACCCCCCCAAACCAAACCAACCCCTGTTACTTCACTTCCCATTTCCCCCAACCTCTTTCTACCTCCAGTCTTAGACAATTATTAATCTGCCTTGTCACTCTATTTCCTATTGTGGAAATTTCATGAAAATGGAATCATATAGTATGTGGTCTTTTGTGTCTTATTTCTTTTACTTATCATGTTTTTAAGGTTCATCCATGTTGTACCATGTTATCACTGTTTTTGTTCTTTCTTGTTGTCAAGTAGTAGTCTATTGTGTGAATATACCACCTTTTGTTTTTCCATTTATCAGTTGATGGAAGTTGAAATTGTTTCCACTTTTTGGCTACTATAAGTAATGTTTCAGTGAATAGCCACATAGAAGTATTTGTATGAATTTACGTTTTCATCTCTTGGATATATGTCCACTCAAGTGATAATCCTATGTTTAAAATTTTGAGACCACCATCATCATTTTGATCTAACATTAACTACTAAGTATTACACAAGTTTCAAAAAGTGTTATTTCCTCATACATGAATTCCTGTCCTCTCCATTCCCTCCTAAGTCAAATGTTCCAGTTATATACCTCTCAAAATTTATGTTGTATTTTATTTCACTGTCTCATCCGAGGTAGTTGTCATATTTTATGTGCATAATAAGTGGATATATGTCTGTCTGTCTGCCTAGACTGTAAGTTAGATAGCTTTTAGTGGCATCAGTATATTCCCAAAGCACATGCTAAGGCACTGTGGTAGCCAGCCTCTAAGATGTTCCCCAAAGATCCCACTCCTGGTATTCATGCTTTTATGTGATACTTTTCCCTTGAATGTGGACTGTATTTAGTGACTTCCCACAAATAGAACAAGTTTTCTAAGAAATAGAATAGGTTTCTATTTGTAGAAGTTTCTAACAAATAAACTAGAACTGATAATTTATTGGGACAACTAATTCCGTACAGTCTCTCTCTCTCTCTCTCTCTCTTTCTCTCTCTCTCTCTCTCTCTCTCTCTCTCTCTCTCTCCTTCTCTCTCTCTCTCTCTCTCTCTCTCTCTCTCTCACACACACACACACACACACACACACACTAACACTATTTATTCTGGGGAAGCAAGTGGTTGCCTCATAAAGACACTATATAGACACCTCCTTGTCAAGGGACCAAGGCCTCTTGCCAATAGCTGTGGAAGTGTACCATCCTAAAAATAGGTTCTCCAGCCCCAGTCAAGCTTTCAGATGACTACAACTTCAGTCTGTGTCTTAATAGCAACTTTGTGAGGGATCCCGACTTATTCCTTGAATTCTTGATGCACAGGAATTGTGTGATAATAAACATCTGTTATTTTAAGCTATTACACTTTGAGCATAGTTTGTTACACTGTAATAGAAATTATGCTGCCTAAGATCTCCCTGGTGGCTCAAGCAGTTAAGACGCAAACTATGAAACTGCCGTTGGCCACTGCAGCACGGGTTCGACCCCCAGCCAGGGAGCTACCCACATGGCGCAGCAGACCTCTCCTGTCTCACCTACTGCTCCCCTCAGCAGTGTATTTCAGTCAATCCACCTGTTCTGTTCCCCTCTCTGTCTCTGGTGAATCCTCTCACCCCCCACACCTCTGGCCTGTGCCTCAGTTCTTGTATGTATAAATAAATAAATCTTTCAAAAAAATAAAAAAAAAAGAAATTATGCTACCTGGAACATATAAAGAACTCAGTAAATTAGAAACAATTGAATGGGTTGAGGGCTGACAGCCATAGACTCTTCAGAAACAAAATTATCAAAAGCTGTTTATTGAACATTTCCCAAATGTTATATGTTCACATCAGAATCTCAGTTGAAGGACCCCATCAAAATTAAATGAAACACATCATGACCTGTATTCACTGGTGAGGAAACTGAAATCTAAAGAAATAAGGGATCAAGAACTTGCCTATGGGAAGGAAACCCTACATGCTACCCCTAGCTCAGCACATGACTTCCTCACCCCTCCAAGGGAAACCTCCAGTCATCCCAGGCCCCAAAGCAAGATGAAGGTCACCTACACAGAACCAGACTGTTTTATTTGCAAATTTCTTGTTTACTCATTAATTTGGTTATTTTTTTTTTCTGAGTTGAAATGCATATGCAATGAAATTAGACACTTTAAAGTGTATAGTTTAGGGCGTCCCCAGTGGCGCAGCAAGTGTCCCACATGGCATGCAGACCTCTCTTGCCAAGCCCGCTATCCCCCTCAGCAGTGTATTTCGTCAGTCTGCCTGCTCTGCTCCCCGCTCTGTCTCTGGTGAATTTTCTCACCCTCCCACACTTCTGACTGTACCCAGGGCTTGTATAAATAAATAAATAAATCTTTAAAAAAATAAATAAATAAAGTGTATAGTTTAGGGTTATTGAGCACATTCAGAATGTGTGTGACAATCCATTCTCTCTAGTTCCAAATATAGTAATTATTTTAGATATTGGCTTCAGAGAGTCAAGTTAGTCCTGCTGCTCAGTACATGGCACATTAATATCATCCCCAGGGCAGGGCTCTTTCTTTAAGTCACTTATTTATGATTCCCTTTTATTCTCCTTCCTGGGAACTCTGCACCCTACCAAAATGCTAACATGTCTGATGTCGAACTCATTGTTTGCCCAGGCCTTCTTTTATAAAACCCTCATGCACTTCCCAACTTTGATCTTCCATTTCTCCTCAACATTAAGAAAATAACAGGGTCATGCAATACATCTGCCCTTAAGGAGGAAGCATTGTTTTTATAGAATATGTGCTAAATAAATAGTCAGGAATCCTTTGTTCTAAACCAGGGGTCCACAAACTATACAACCCAAGGAGCAAACCCAGCCTTCTGTCTGTCTATAAATAAAGTTTATTGGAACACAGCCATGTTCTTTTGTGAATGTATTGTCTATGGCTGTTTTCTCCCTCTAGTGACAGAGCCAAGGAGCCACGACAGAGACAACATAGCCCAAAAAATATAAAATAATTTGTATGTTGCTCTTAACAGAACAAGGCTGCTGAGCCCTCCTCTAACCCACAATAGATCACCTAAAACTCTGTATAATCATTAGGCAAATCTGTTTACCTCCTGGGTCTTAATGTCTAGTTCCCTAAAATTGAGGCCACAGACTCAAACTATAGTTTTTAGTTGTCTTTTCTTTTTTTCTTTGACTTTCTTTCTCCCTGTCTTGTATAGTAGAACACATTGTTTTCCAAACAAAATACATCTGAGAAAATCCAGAGTGGAAGATATGAAGTGAAATTTCTTTGGTAGAAGCAGCAAGGGCCCTGTAATAATGATCACAAATAAAGATTCTATATGACTGGCTGAACCCTCATCTACCTCTCCATTAGCCAATGAGATGCCATATTGATTTATCAGGGCCTGGGATCAGTCCTCCAAGAAAACAACCCACTTCTTAAATATGTTCAAAGCCATGTCTGTCTGTGGCATCCTATGTGGGATGGAAAGTTAGTTGAAAGTCCAACTCTGACATTTATTGTGTAACTTGGGCCGATCACTTTAACCTGTGTGAACCTCAGCATCCTCACATGCAGGGGAAAACGGAGATGAATGATCTTGACATCACATACTGGTTGTGAGGATATAAGATACTATTTCTAACATACCTGGCACAGGGGTCTGTACCAGTGAATGGGATCCACAAAGCATCAAAAATAATATGATCCAAATTACCAAGCAGTGAGCTCACTACGTGGCATGTGCAGAAACTGATACCATGGCATCAGATTTTGAGAGAATAAAAGAGCTTTATGTCAAATTGATTGGCAAAGAAGTCAGAGATAAATCAACTCTATCTCCCCAGTTAAGAAAGGGAATGATGTTATATAGGTTTGAGAAACCAGGGTTGAGAACCAAGGAGTTAAATTTTATTTACCTAGGGAGTAGTTTGGGTGAAAGAAATGTGGGCTTGGTTAAAGTCCTTTGGCTAGGTATAGGGTACTTCATCCATTAAGAAGTATAAAGAGGAGGGCCTCCCCATTGGCGCAGCGGTTGAGCGCTGGGTTGCGAAGCTGCCCGCGGCCTCTGCGGTGCCGGTTCGATCCCCGGCTGCTCCCCAGCCACCGGAGGAGGATCCCGCATGGTGCGCAGACCTCTCCTGCCGCCCGCTGCTCCCCTCAGCAGTGTACTTCGGTCCTTCTGCCTGTTCTGCTCCCTTCTCTGGCTCTGGTGAATTCTCTCACCCTCCCGCGCTTCTGACTGTACCCAGTGCATGTATAAACAAAACAAACAAACAAATAAATAAATAAATAAAACATGCCTCTATTAAAAAAAAAAAAAAAAAAGTTAAAAAAAAAAAAAGAAGTATAAAGAGGGTTTTTTTCAGATGACTAGGTTTGGAAATTTTGTTGGGAGGTCCCTCACCTCTGGTAACACACTCCTCTACTTTTGTATCTCTCTCTAGCCGATCTAGAAGCTCAGTTCAAGGTTAGTCATCAAAACTCCAGGCTCTGCTATGTCTCTAAAAGCAAGTCTCAGAGAAAAGTTTAGGTAAGTTTTTTTTTTTTCTTCTTCTTCTGTGCTCTAGGTTATGAAAGAAATTTCACCATTTACCTTGAGTTACAATAGTGGAGGTTAACAGACTCTGGGCTAAGACAGTGACTTTTCAGTCATAGAAAGTCTCAGACAGGCAGCAGTCCTTCTGCCCACCTGTGCCTATGCAGGTGCTCCTTTTAGACAACCCTCTGTCCCTCCGCAGGGCAGCAGCATCCTGCCTGCCTGTGACCTTTACAATGTAAGGGCTTCTCTGCACGACTTCCCTCAGCAGAGGCAGATCTCCTCAAGGCTGCCCGCCTGCAACCGTGCAGGCCTCTCTGAACAAACCTGTCCCTTTCGGGGCAGCTCTTTCTGCCTGCTTGTGTCTGTGCAAGTGTCCTTTATTCCTCTGTCCCTTTCCCTAATAAACCTGCTCTTTTAAATATATAAAAAAAGAAAGTCTCAGACAGGAATAACGTGTTAAGCTGTTGTTTCCCACAAGGGTTTAGCCCTAATTAATAAATTTATTGAGTTTAGTTTTTGAGTGAAAGAGACATAAATAAAACTTGGGAAAGACCCACCATGAGTGTTGCCACTTAGGAGAATGATAGAAGTCTACTGCAGAGGAGGAGAGAGCAAAGCTGAGCCCACCATGCTCTCCAAGCCGTGTGGATGGAGGCCATCCCATGACCTCTCTGAGCTTAGTTTGCTCATCCCAAAACAAGGCGGTAGCTCCTAGCTGTGTGTTCTCAGAGATAAGTTATTGATTTCATTATCTGTAAAATGAGAATGAGAGTTCTGCTGTGAGGATGAAATTAAAAATAGACATTGTGTCCTGAAAGTTGTAGGAGCAATACATAAATGTTGCTTGCCGTCTTTGTTGGGATGGATCAAGCTCTGCTCAGTGCAAACTAAGACTTGAGACCTCAGTGGATTAGCACAATGACATTTACTCCACATGCATGCAGCTTAGGAACGGGGTCTTCCCCTCTTCTGACATTGCCTGTCAACCTATGACTTTCAAGATCTCCGCAGCAGAGAAAGGCATAAGAAGGCATGTGCCCCTTACCTACCTCATCACAGACATTGCCCAGAGCATTCCCATTCAAGGTCCTTTACCCAGAAGGAAAAGATAGTTGGGACAGGGCCTTCCTGTTCGCGCAGCGGTTGAGCGCTGGGTTGCGAAGCTATCTACAGCCTCTGCAGCGCCGGTCGATCCCCGGCCACCGGCGAGGGTCCCACATGGCGCACAGACCTCTCCTGCCGCCCGCTGCTCCCCTCAGCAGTGTACTTTGTCAGTCTGCCTGTTCTGTTCCCCGCTCTGGCTCTGGTGAATTCTCTCACTCTCCCACGCTTCTGACTGTACCCAGTGCTTGTATAAATAAATCATTAAAAAAAAAAAAAGATAGTTGGGACAATTGAGAAGTTGCCCAAGATCATGGAACTCAGCCACGGCAGAGATGTGATCCGGTGCCAGGCGTGTCTGGCACCTTCTGTGGCAGTCACCACTGATCCTCTGCTCTGCTTTCCTTTGGGCTCCAACCTAGCCCAGAGCGAGCACTGTGTTATCTTACCCCAGTTTTCCCACTGTCTCCACAACATGCAGGTTGTGAAGTCACTGTGTGCTTGTGAAGGGCGGTGAAGATGAGAGGGTCGCACCTCCAGCCACCATGTGAGCTGGGCTGGAGTGTCCAGGGTGCCCGGATCCCTGTCCACAGAGGAGGCTGCAAATGCTCTGGGCAGATAAGACACAGTCCTCCCTGGGCAGCCAGCACTTCCTACTGCTAGCTTTCTCTTTGCTGGGCTTGCAGAGCTCAGCACACTGCCCTGGGCAGTCCCTGGAGACACAGGGAGGCCTGCTAGTGACAGGCGTATTGACTTTCAAAACCACAGTGCTGGAGCCTCAGGGCACTCTTTGACTCAGATTTCCTTTTTCAGTCTATAACGTGCAAAGGTTCAGAGAAAGCACGGCAAAGTCAGACACAGTCCTGCTCTAGCGGGTAATGAGGAGTGGACGGCAGCTCAAAAAGAGAAGAAATTAAAGAGATAGTAAAATGGTAGCTAATAGGCAGGGCACATGTGCCAGGCAGGGTATAAGCTGCACTGTGGGCACAATACCACAGAAATTCACAGCAATGCTGTGAGTTGGGTATTAGCTAATTTTCCGGGACAGAAAATTGAGATTCCGAGAGACCATGTGACTTACCCAAAGTCATCCACCCAGGAGTTAGAAATTATATTGGGGTCTTGATTCGCTGGGCTCTTTCCATGTAGATTTGCTTTATTAATGCTTTTCTATGTGGGTTCACATGACAGTTTTGCTATAATGAGCAGTCCATGGGGGTTCCTCCCTTGCAAACAGCGTTTTGTAAATGTTCATTTATGCGATCTTCACAGAAGCTGTGTGAGGTGGGGAGGATGTGTCTCACTTCATATTCGAGGATGGGGGCACAGAGAGGTTGCCCTCTCGCTTGAGGTCACAGAGTTAGCAGCAGGGGCAGGACCCTGCTCAGGTGGAATGTCTTCCCACGACCCCCAAGGCTCTCTTCTTGGAAGCCCAAGGTGGCCAAGAGTCTTGGCTTAGACATGGGCCATCTCGGGTGTGAGTCCTGGCTTCATGGCTGGAGTTGTGTTACGTGGGCTATTTAAAGTCTTTCTGAGTCCACATAGCCTCAGCCCTAAAGCAAGAATAACAGTTATTCCCAGTTCATGGTGATTACGAGAATTCATCGTAAGCCCACATAAAGTCCTTGTTGAATGGGTACAAGCTGTTCCTGACTAGGACTCTCTTCATCTGGCTGTTGCTGGAAAGAAAGAACCCCATGAAGACTACGATCGAGTCTGAGACCCCTACCAGCTACTGTGTGTTTCATCCTCTGAGCTTCAGGGGACGTTGTGTTCAGACTCCCTCGAAGATTCCATCTACCCCTGGAGGGGTCCTTGGACCCAACGAGTCAGGAAGCTGCTGTCGTCTCAGTGGCTTCGGCTGTTTTCCTGATAGCAGTGTTATTCTCTTTGGTCTGCTGGGAGGCTCCCAGCATCATTAATCAAAGCCCCGCGTTGCTTACTCGTACTGAAGTATCCTCACCGCCTCATCAATCATAAAAGCAGCAAAGGGTGTGCTTTGGATTTCTAAGGAAAGCTCCAGACAGCACCAAAAGGGAAAAAAGCCATGTGGGGGCGGGGGGAGCTTAATTATCCGCTGGTCCCGGGCCCATCACTCATGCTGCAAATGTCTTTACAGCTTTATTTGGGTTGTGTCTCTTTTTAAATCCTAGTAAACAGCCGTTAAGCTAAAAACCCTCATTGCTCGGCACAGGGAGCCCCACTGGTTTTCAAGCTATTATTTTAATAAGGCCTATTTTACAATTAAGGCACCATGGGCTTTAAATTACATATAAAATAAAATGTGGAAATTGAAGCATTAAGTGTGCGACTGTCGTTAGAGAAACAGCAGCCGCTCTTTGTGGTAAAACGCTGTCTGGTGGAAAAGGCACAGAACAGAAGGCTGGGGTTATATACCACCATGAAAAAAAATTTAAATGTGCGCGTGCGTGCACATACACACACACACACACACACACACACACACCCCTTGAGAAAGGCCTGCACACACTTTGCAGTGAGGGTGTGAGGTCCTGCCTAGGTGGCACAAAATCCTAATAACAATTACAATACTATGACTATTATTAATAATTATAGCAGCTAACATTTTTTGAATCCTTACTGCCTGCCAGGCCCCAGCTGAGAACTTTCTCCTGCTCTGTCATCGTCTCACCAGTCTAAGAGGGAGGTATCATTCTTATCCCTGAGACAAAGGAACTGGGGGCTGCCTGGGACTCAATGCACAGTTAGGATCTAAACCCTGGAACCCCTCAATCCAGACCCTGGGGTTCAAGCCACTCAGAGTCCAGGTCAAGCCATTCATTTCCCCAACCAATATTTTAGAATGAGATTTCTGCTGAGAGCTTGGCAGTCCAATGGGAATTTAAACAGCCACAGTGTTTGACCCTTGGTGTTTATAACCCAGCAAAAGGGACAAATAGGCAAAGGAAGTCACTGATTGCATCTGTGACCAGGAATATGCTGAGGGCCCCAAAGCAAGCGGGTGTACTAGTGGAGACTAAGGTGGGAATGGCCCCTACTTTAGCAGAGGGCAGGGAAGAGCTGTCTGAGAGGTAATGTGGACAGAACAGAAGGAAGTTACATGACCTACCTGCAAGAAGAGGCCCAGCCCAGGCCACAGCCATCGGAGGGAGAACATTTGCTGACTTCAGGGAATAGTTGGGAGACCAGGAAGATTGGAAGAAAGTCATTGGAGAGGTGAACAGGGTGACAATGGACAGGCAAGCCAGGGCGGGCACAATCATGACCTCAACAGGAAGCAATTTTCTTTTAAGGCTTGGGAGAATTTTTGGTTTTTGGCCAGGGAGGCTCCTGCTCTGATTTCAAATAGCTTCCCTGGACTACTGGAAAGGTTGGATTGGAAGTGAGCAAGAGTGAAGAGAGGAGACAAGCAGATAGACATAGCAGTGGAGATCAGTCCTGAATGTATTCAAGCGACCCTTTGGAAGTGGGAAAAGAAGGATCAGGCTCAGCACGTGTCCTGCTTAAGTGCCAGCAGACTCAGCTGTCCTTGCATCTGCTGCTTGTCTTCCAGCAGGAAAGTCCATTCCCAGTCCCTAAAGCAAAGCTCCTTGTTCCAGACTGCCCTGCCCCACCCTTCCTGGACTGATCATAGATGAAAGAGCTCTGTCTGTCTTCCAGCCACCTCCTCCTCCTGCTCATAAAACAAATATGTTTTTGAGCTACCACCCACTCCTGCCACCCTCCCTGTAGTTGGCATTGAAGTCCAGAGGATTCAAGAAGCTTTGGAGAATTCTTCCATATGTAGATGAGCCACATGCAAATCGGACCTGCCTGCCCCTCTGGTCCCTTGCCAGTGAAGCTGATGTCACCCATACTTACCTGTCTCTACAAAGCCTCTTGGTCCCACAGGTAGAGGCTGGGAAGTA